CATTAATCTGAATCAACACCTTTAGATAAGCAGAAAAATTTTAAAAAGTATAAAATACGGATAAAGAAGACAAGAAATGGCGATGTATAGTTTTCCTCTTATATTAAAATGTATCTCTCTAATCGTAAGGACAAGTTTGGTTACCTTGCCTTAGATCTATCTAATGGTTCAAACTATGACTTACCGAGACATGTGTCAGATTTTGTAAATACTTATAAATCTATGATGAGTATTTAAATAGAATCTTTAGAAATTGCTTTGTTTACGTTCCGGATACGAAACTGAGCAGATATGACTCGATATAAATCTGAACGTGTAAAATATACTTTAAAGGCAAAGAGATCCTTGCTTGATTGTGAAGCTTTTCATAGCATGTCGGATCAAACGGCGGTTTCTCCTGCAAATTTCTAATTTTTTTTCTCAAATTAACGAGTGACCAAGACTGGCAACTGCTAGCCGAAATATTTCCATAAAAGAATAAATCATTCGTTGGAACTACAAGTTTTTTCTTTCTTTTAATTATGCAACTAGCAACGGAGACAAGCATCCTACCTTTGAAAATAAAATACTGTTTAAAATAAATATCTACTCAAATCCACCAAACATAACATTTAGAGTAATATATATATGTGTGTGTGTGTTTGTGTGTGTGTGTGTGCGTGTATGTGTGTGTAAACGTTCTCAGAATATATCTGTAGAAAAGACAGATTGAATAAAGCAGACAATAGGAAAACAGTACATTCATCATCATTTGCCTTGATAAGGTCGGATGACGAAACGCGTCGACAAAAAATTAAATACTGTTTTCCTATTGCCTATTATATATATATATATATATATATATATATATATATATATATATATATATATATTACTTGCATATTCGACAACGATTAATGGCCAAAGTTTGTGGAGAAATCGTAACAAATTATAGTCAGTTAAAAGTGATAATTGTAATACAATAAAATATTTATAGAACACCCAGCGAGCTTCTTCTTCGAGGCTGGAATTTTTTAACAGCTCTTCTATCGGTCTCCGACTCCCACCTGGCAGGGTAACACAATAACCTGCTGGTCGCTTTCAGTGTCAATGTCACGTACAAGCTTTACTTTCATTCGACCACGTGTGTCACTCATGTCTCCTTTTGATCACACCATAATGGCCTTTTGTAAACAAGCTACATTATTGACTACATTACAAACATGCAGAACTATAAGAATGGTAGAAATTCGCAAAATACAAAAAGAGTCGGTAGACCAAAAAATATGTCTACACATAATTTTATGAAAGCATGTTTCGAAAATAATATTCGATAATGCATTTTGCCTATATGGAAAACGAAAAATGTGTTGTGTATGTATGCACTTTTCGTTATCCATCTGAGGAAGCCATATAGACGAAATGCATTATCGGATATTATTTTCGAAACATATTTTCATGAACGTTTTTCTAAATGCCAATAACTTATAAAATAATTTTATATTTTTATCTTTGCTTAAAATTCATGTGCAGACTAATTTTTATCATCTAACTGAAAAAGTGCATTTACAGCAATTTTATCTTAAAAATTACATTTTTATAAGAAACTTTATCGCTTATAATATTGCTTTTGCTTTAGTAGTTTTTTTTCATCAGTACAATTATATAAATTAAACACCATTTAGGTATTCATAGAATTAAGTCCTTCTTATCTGTTAAATACGATATTTAAAAAGAACCATTCAATAATAACCACGTTTCATATAACTAAGCTTAATCGGACACAAAACCAGAATAGGTGGATATTTATTGAGAGCCGAATTAACTACATGAGTAAAACACCTTGCCAATTATCGAGCTTTGACTATGACATCTGTAATAGTGAAATAAATCAAGAAACATTACAAGTTTTCAAAACTATCGTACTCCAAAAGTAAAAAATCGTTCAGGTTTATTACAATTCAAACACAATTGAGTGAATTGTATTTAAGTATTGATTACGAATATTGCTTAAAATATTCAGAAATTAAGTTTGTCTATTCTACACTACCAGCTTATTCAACTGAACTTGCAACAAACGAATATTACCTTTTGCGGTAGGTGCAAAACGCTTTTACGGGGAAAACTAATGAAAAACAAGATTTATGAGTTCGTCGAAAATTTTTTCACATCAAAACCTGCGTTACATAAAAGTTATTGGAGTCATTGCAAATAATGGTAAATATATAATTGAATGAAATGTCCAAAGTGAAGACAGGGCAGATCCTGCAATATATATGGAAGTAGGACACCATTTTCGGCCTGATCTAGCTCTTGTAAAGGTAGAGCGTAGCAGGAGGAGTCAGGTATTTACGGGAGCATACAGGGAACCGACCCGTTTTCCAGCATCTTCAGGTCTAGGAAGAGCTTAAATCCTAATAGGCGATCAAGGCATGAGACATCCTTAAGAGAAGACCTGTTTGATTTTGACCAAATGACTAAGGATCATATATATTTCAAAATGAAGTAGTCTGTAGACAAG